GAGGTAATGGGCTGGATGAGGGCCAATAAACTGAAGCTCAAACCAGACAAGACGGAAGTCCTGTTGGTGGGTGGCTCAGGCCTCGGGATGGGGGACTTGGGCCTTGTCCTAAATGGGGTTGCACTCCCTCTGAGGGACAGGGTTCGCAGCTTGGGAGTGCTCCTCGACCCTGAGCTGTCTCTAGAAGCTCAGGTGATGGTGGTGGCGAGGAGCACCTTCCTTCAGCTTCGGCTGATACATCAGCTGTGTCCCTTCCTGGAGAACGACTGCCTGGCAACAGCAACACTCGCGTTGGTGACTTCCTGATTAGATTTCTGTAACGCACTCTATGTGGGGCTACCTTGAAGACGGACTGGATACTTCAGTTGGTGCAGAATAGAGCTGCCAGGTTGCTGACGGGGACTGGGCATTGTTCTCATATAACCCCAGTTCTCCGTCAGCTCCACTGGCTCCCGATTGAAGTCCAGGCCCAATTCAAGGTGTTGGTTATGACCTATAAAGCCCTAAACAGCTTGGGACCTGGATATCTAAAGGAACGCTTGCATCCATATATGGCCTCCCGCCCCTTGAGATCAGCAACAGATGCCCTTCTCTGGGAACCCTCTGTGAATATTAGGAGGGTGAGTACCTGGAGGAGGGGTTTCTCTGTGGTGGCGCCCCATCTATGGAATGTGCTCCCCAGAGAGGTCCACCTGGTGCTGTCGTTATTTGTTTTTTGGCGCCAGGCTAAGACCTTTTTATTTAAAACTTATTTTAATTGTTACATTATTTGTATTTATAGGATTTTAAATTTTTAGCCAAGATGCACCGGGGGTTTTTAAATAATTTTTTATTGTTATATTGTTATTATTTATGTATTTATGTATTTTGTTTCTGTTGTGAGCCGCCCCGAGACTTCGTTGCAATGGGGGCGAAATAAAAATGTTTTAAATAAATAAATAAAATTAGGCTTGGTATCTCCAAAGCTAAGAAATAAAACACAATGCCAAAAACAGTGGCTTCAAAGCAAAAGATCCAATACAAGACCAATCAGAACTAGCTAATCAAAGTACTCTACCTCACATGCCACTGTGTGCTCTAAGTTTAATGACCCAACCACAACTTGGCTATGAGGTAATTACTGAGACCAAAAAATTGCATTTAATCGCCATATTATCAAAGGGCAATATCCCTAGACTGCACTTACATTTATGCTACCAGTAACTTCTATTAGTCCAACCAAATTGTTATACTACAAGGTTAAGAGAAGAATTAGCATTGTAATACACATTTCTACATATACAATATTTCACCGGCATATACATCATAAATTAGATGAAATAAATCTTACCTAATCGTAGCTCTCCAAAATTACCACATCCAATTTTTTTTCCAACTCTGAAATTAGGTCCAACCATTAACACTCCAGAGTTCGAAGAGCCGCTGCCTCGCGGATTATGACTTGATCGCCCACTAGGCCTTGCCATTCTATCATCTGGTTTGTCCTTGTCTTTCTTTTTGCTATCCATATCAAGTTTATGGTACTCCACTTTGAAATTCTTTCCCCAGTCAAGACAGGCAAACTCAAATGGGATAAAGCAGAAATTGAAACATCACTAGTTAAGAGCTCCAGCTAGTTACTGAGAGTCGGGAAGCTGCTGCAGGCAGTCACTGTTTGTATATTCATCCCATTCGCAAAGTATTTTTCCTTGATAATTGTTAGAGAAAAATATATTCTTAGATCCTCCCTTAGCACCATTTACTGGTATTTAAAGTGCTTCTGTAACAAGAAAAACAGTTTATTACATATGCATGGTAACTACAAAACTATATTGCTACTGGGCAGTACAATGTATATTTCAGCACACAATAAAAAAGTTTTTCAATAATTGTGTACTGGTTTATAGAATATTATACTGCTGTGTATATACTGCTAATCTGTCTCACAAATATACCTAAACATTACAATATGTTCAAATAAAAATATTCAGGTATGACCCATCATTAACTATTCTTCGGAAAATCCACATATGCACAAATCTTTCCTCAAAGCATGCTCAAAGATTTGCTGAACTCCATATTAATATAAATTAATGCATCAAGTGCATAAGGGTGGATTCCAAATGTAACACAACAAAATTCTGTTTGTCCAATGAACCTTCCCTTCTCTCTTCCTCCTTCCTGCAACTCCCCCCAAAACCTGTACTGGAGGGTCTCGCAATGCTCCCGAACAGACAGTGAGAAAATGCAGAGATAGGGGAGAGGGGGCAATCATCTTCAGTATGCTCAGCTAATGAAACCCATGCCACCAATGCAATGGTATAGTTTCACTGCACACCAACTTAAAATGGCACCCACATCAGCACATATCAACAACAATCATAAGATCCTTTAAACAAAAACCTGGGAGCTAAGTAATGTACTCAGTAATAGAGCTATCAAATGTTGCATTACAAAAAATGTTTATCAACAAGTTAGATTTTACACAATGTACATTAATATATAATTTTATATGAGCAAACAGGTTTTAACATTTGTATTAACATCATGCAATGAATAACCTATGAATAACCCATTATTTCAATGCCTACCTCTATTTAAAATTTTGCACAGTATTAGATACTATCACACTTCTAAATTAAAATTAATTTGGGATAGTGGAATTTATGATTTCAGAAGATTTTCAAATTATGCCAGTTGATTATAAAAACTGCTAAGTATACACACTTCACACTATAAAAAGTATCAAAAACCTTCTTAATATTTTAGCAGAACAAACTGTCCGGATGGATTTTACCAAAGAAAGGACAAACATTTAACTTATTACAATAGTAAAGACAGAACAGCTTCATACTAACTACAGAATAACAGTTTCTAAAAAATAAATTTCCTGAATTCAGACCTTGAGAGTACAGTGGTACCTTGGCTCATGAACTTAATCCGTTCCATGACTCTGGTTGTGACCCAAATTGGTTGTGACCCAAATCAAGTTTCCCCATAAGGTTCAATGTAAATAAGGTTAATCTGTTCTGTAACTACTTCTTTTTTAATCAGAAAAATTTGAAACTAAGTGACAAAGAACAACAAAGTGACAAAGTCCTGTATGGTACAGAGGAGAACACTAACCTAGGTGCGGAGGGGAGGTTATTGTTTTGAGGGAGAGTCCCCGTCCAAAAGGACATTCGGGAGATCTCTTTCAGGGGTTTCCTCTCTTCTTTGTCTCTTAGCTGCAGGGCCAATTTTGGGGAAAAATCTGTCTACAGTCACTTGTTTTTTTCCTGCGCTGCGTAACCCTCCGGAAATGAGAGACCACATTATCATTCATCAGATCGTTACAGTTATGTTGGGGTGGTGCTTCTCAAAGAAATCCTGGCACTTATTCCATTTTTTCATAATGGATTCTATCACATCACTGCTAACCTCCTCCCTGCCTTCCTCTTCCTCAGTGGAATCCTCCTCAGCGAGTGCCTTCTGCTGCTCACTCTGGAGTTCAGCAAGTTCTTCTGTCATCAGCTCCTCTGTGTCTTCCCTGCAAGCACGCAACTGCGATCATGGCCATCTCCCCACTCAGGGGTGGGGGTAGGGAGATGGCCATGATCATGCTGGTTAGTTGGGGGGAGATAGCTGAGATTGTGCCCGTCTTTCCTGCAGGAGCACCCACTCAGGGAGGGGGGAGATGGCCGCAATCTTGGTTGCCACCTAATGCGGAGTTTGCAACCCAAGTCAAAATTTTCATGAAATTTTTGTTCATGACCAGATTTGGTTGTGAACCAAAGCGTTCTTGAGGTGAGGCGCCACTGTACTAGGCCAGATTCCATTAAAAAAAATCATCCACACAGCAAAAGCAATAGATTCTGTAGCAGCCTTGATTTCCGCCTGGTTTACAAGTGCCTACTTATAAACTGGGTCTCAGATAACATGCGAGCAAAAGCATACAGGAGTAAGCAATCTTACTGTCTCCCATTTGCTCACCACTTCTGCTCACCACAGCTTGTTCGCGAGCAAGCTGTTTGAAACAAGCTGCTTTAGTCATAATGCTTGTTCCTTTCACTCTTGGAAGAGTAAAATAATCCAGGGTTTTAACCCAACAATAAACCAGTGGTTCAAACAATGGGTTGTTTAATCCAGAATGCCATGTTCGGAAGCCATGACCCACAACTGATGCACAGAAGTTGTGACAAGAGGCAGTACCCTTGCTTAGACTCAGCCGAGAAAAACAATGGTTTAAACAACCAATGAAATGTCATTATGTGAGCAGCACACCTGTGGAGTTGCCACTTTTTATTTAAACATAAGCATATGTACTATTTTTATTTTTTATTTTTATTTACTGTATATCGCACAAGTCCTTCGACCATGGTAGAATTAAAGCAAGTTTATACAATCAGGTAAAAAAGAAAAACTTGTTGTAATATATAAAATTTATTAAAATTTTAATATAAAATTTATATTAAAAATCACTTGAAACAGGTTAATATTACTAAGGTGCAGATAGATATAATAAGCCAATTCCAGTAGCACTGGTAGGGCTATCAGGCCACAATCATGCTTGCTGAACATTCTTAAAAATTTGGTGTGGTCTATTCCACAAACTGCTCTCTGCATCTGGCAGCCTTTGCATATGTACTATAATACAACGTAGCTAGGGAAACCAACATCAAACACATATTTAAATACATGTTTCAAACCAAACTTCTCAGTACTTTTGCTACCATTTTGTTGAACAGCTTCTTCTTTGACATTTCTGCAACAAAACCAGCTCATTCTAATTCCCTTCTTTGAACTCTCCAAATATACCTTTAAATTGTTACATATATTTTTAACATCTAACATCTCCATGTTTTACTAAACATTTCCTGTAAGAAACATTTCTACAAATTATACTTACCCCCAAAAAAGTTCCAGTATTCACTGGGGAGGAGTGGTCCATTACAATCCACACACGATTTTATACATAGACATTCTGAAAACAAAACATGCATTTAACATTAGCAAACAGTGCAATCCCATAATCTGTTACTATAGAATACCATGAAAAATCCTGTTGCTCCTGACATTTTATCAGTTCAGCCCAGAAAATACACATGTAAATACACATGTATTTCTAAAAATGTGTGCTAGGGAATGAGTCAAACAAGTCAAATGAGATTTTAGAGCATGTTCTATTTCTTCCAGAAAACCCACATCATTGAGCAGAAGCTTCCAACTAAAAAGGAACTAGACTCTTCTATACATTTAAGAGCTTTAGAATAAACTTCTCACCTAAAGCAGTGCAATGCTTCACAACTTAAGCTTTCAGTCCAGCTGCACTTCCTGGAATGGTCATGTGATCAAGGTGGAGTAAACAAATATATATCAATCAGCTGAATCCCAAATCCATTACAATAAACTCTAATTATCCCTCTTCTCCATCTCAAAACATTCCTTTCAACCTTTCTCATATGACATCAGAACAGGCTTGAATTTGATCCTTCTCATGAATCTGCTGCTCCTTGAAGCTTTGCCACCTCCTTCCTTACTCTTTCTCTAGCACTGCAACACTTACTTCTTTCTGTCCTTGCAGATGATGTGATCTTTGTGCAGAGAAACAGGGGTTGGAATGTACAAGTAGTACAGTCCTATTGTTACTCTTCAGTAAGAAGAGCCATGCTGGATCGTAACAAGAGTCTACCTGGTTCAACATTCTGCTCGCACACTAGCCAAACAGCTGTCCACTCGAAAGCAGGATATGCAAGCAACAGCACTCTACCATCCATAACACCCAGCAACATAACACAACTAATACATAAGCATGCAACTTCTAATACTGCAGACAGCATATAGCTGTCAGAACTAGTAGCCACTAATAGCCTTGCCCTCCATGAATTTGTCCAGACTCCTTTTAAATCCATCCAAATTGGTAACCATCACTACATCTCATGGAAGTTAATACCAGAGTTTCATGTGATTTGTGAAGAAATATTTCCTTTTATTTGTCCTAGATCTTCTATTATTCTGCTTTATACAATAACCCCAAGTTTTAGTATTAAGAGAAAAAAATGAGTCCCTATCCAATGCATAATTTTGCAAACATCTATCTAGTTTTCTCTTGCCTTCTTAAAGTTAATCAATCCCACATGTTGTATCCTTTCTTTGTAGGGGATTTTCTCCAACCAGTTGATCATTTAATTTGCCCTTTTCTGTCTTTTTCCAACTCTGCAATAGGTAGAGTTTCTAGGTGTGATGACCAGAACTGTACACAGTATCCTAAGGAACTATGACACTGGCATTCATTTCTTTCCAAATTATGCCTACCACAAATTCTGCCTTTTTTACTGCAACCACACACAAGGTTGACATTTGCAGCACAAGAAAGTCGCACCTCATTCAGTGAGGTTTACTTCAGGGAGAATATGCACAGGATTGCCAACCTTAATCAGTCTCACCCAACGTAATGTAGTGCCCACAAAATGTTTTGGACTACAACTCCCAGCATCTCTTATCATTGACTATGCTGGATGGGGCTGAAAGAAATCACAGCCCAAAACAATAAAAACTTTCCATTTGATTTTTCTGTGTTGACTTTATTAAATTAAGTGGTCCCCACTTGAACATTTATGCACCCCACTGTAAATTGTGAGCTGTGGAGATAGCCAGATATGGTCTATTGTAGTGGCATATAACTTCATTAAAAATGAGTTTTGCTAATTGCACACAGTCCTAATTTTAGCCATTGCTTGGTCACTTTAAGATATTTTGCCACTAACAATCAAGCCCCTGACTACTTTCTTATGGCTCATTAACTGGATGAATAGGAACCAAAGGAATAAATAGAAAGTTCACGTAATAGAAATACAAAGTAGGTTCCTCCAAATAACTGTACCAGGAACTAGAGCCAGGGATGAGCTATCAGATAGCCCAGTTTGCAAATATAATCCTTTTTACATGAAGAAATGAACTGTGAATTTTTTTAAAAAAAAAGATTCTCTCTGAACTGTATGACTCCTCAACAAAAGGGCAAATGTAGTTCAAAGCAACTGCAAAGTGATGCATAGTGGATGGGGGAGGGGAAATATGAACTTCACATGTACACTAATGACCTCTGAACTTGTAATGACTAATCGGGTAAAATCTTGTGGTCATGATGGATAGCACAATGAAAGAACTGATCAAGAGTTAGATTTTAGGACTGTCCTCTCCAATTTAGCACTCTCCAGATCTGTTAGCATAAAGGCTGTTATCAACCACAACATTTGGCTTAGACTGACTGTCTCTTTCTCATAGAAACAGTGATGAGGAATTAGACCAATAGTCCAAATACATCCAGCACTCCATTCACAAAACATAGTTGCCCATGGAATCCCTCAAGAACAGGGGTCCTCAAACTTTTCAACAGGGGGCCAGGTGAAAGGTGCTGGCAGCACGTGCAGGTCAGTAAGGCAGTGCCAGCGGTGTGTGTGGGCCAGCAGTGGAGGTGTGCACACACACACGGCGAGGCAAAGTGGGCGCGTGTGGGGGGGGCGGGGCAGGTGCGCAAGGCAGCAGCTTGCTCACTCGGAGATCATTTTCTCCAAGCGAGTCCAAAACGATCTCTGCGCAAGGCAGTGGCAGGGGTGGTGAGTCCAAAACCTCTCAGGCGGGCCAGATAAATGGGCAAGGAGGGCTGGATTCGGCCCACAGGCCATAGTCTGAGGACCCTTGCTCAAGAAGGACAGGTACAAAGGTTTCTGTATGAAGAGAAAATACTTCTGGTCATGGAAGCAGCACTGACAGCTTTCTTCATGAATTCCTCCAATGCCCTTTTAAAGCCAACCAAATTGGTGGCCATCGCTTCTTTCTGCAGCAGTGTAT